AAAAAAAAAAAAAAAAAAAAAAAAAAAAAAAAAATTGCTCGAACCAAAAGAATTCCACCATTGGCAGAATCTGAGAGGAATTTTCTGCTGGTAACCTATCTCTGAAGGTCAGTTTTGTCCAGAGGGCAGCTTATAATGAAGACCTGTGTCCAGTAAACATGCGAGCAGACCTGTAGTCCTCACCCCAGCATCTCCTTTGTGCATCAGATCAGCTTAGTCCGCCCTAAGGGAGACTCCTCGCCCTCCTGTAGAGTCCACTGCAGGTTGTGTCTCCTAAACATCTTTTAAATCCATCCTGAAATCCAACAGCAGTGGTGGTCAGCGTCAGGCCCTGTCCTTATACAAGGAAAAGTGACACTAAGAATGCAAATTCAGGGGCCGGCCCGGTGGCGCACTGCTACAGTACGCCGCTTGAGAGCACAGCAGTGCTCCCGCTGAGGGTTCGGATCCCACATACAGACCGGCTGCTCACTGGCTGAGCGAGGTGTGGGTGCAACACTGAGGGTTGCGATCCGTTGCCGGTCACGAAAAAAGACAAAAAGGAAAAAAAAAAGAATGCAAATTCAGTTGTGAACATTGGCATGGGAGGAAATAAAAACACAAGAACTTTTGGGTGTGGGAGCTGAAAATTTTGACATCCTTTAGTTTATATAGCCAAGAAGAGTCCAGGGAGCACAAGGACCTTATTTCTCAGTTCTGATGCCCACTCTAGATAGAAGTTCTGCACCTCTGTTAAAGCTCATAGGACGGTAAGCTTGCATCCCTGCACAGCTGGAATGCTACCTTCCTTCCTGTTACCAAAATTTGATGATGCATGTTGTTTAATGAAATTTATGATTAAAATATAACACATAGAGCTGGCCTGTGGCTCACTCGGGAGAGTGCGGTGCTGATAACACCAACGCCACGGGTTCCGATCCCATATAGGGATGGCCGGTTAGCTCACTTGGGAGAGCGTGGTGCTGACAACACCAAGTCAAGGGTTAAGATCCCCTTACCGATCATCTTTAAAAAAAAAAAAACACATAAGGGAGAAAATCACAGTTTACATCTGTGGTAAAATCAATTATATATTAAAATTAATCATTACATAAATGTTTGGTGACGTGGTGACTTAAGTGCTAACGTTTTGTTCAGTGAAGTGAAGAAAGGCCTTTAAACAGAAGGTCATTATTCATATCGAATTCATTCCTCACCCTGGTTTTGAACATATAAGAGGGATAATCTTACTATCACACAGAAAGTATGTTTTCAAAATATAGATCTCTGTAGCACTTGACTGTTGTTAAAGAATTTTCTTAACATGGTTTTGTCGTGAAGTTTATATTCTTGCTNACCCTGGTTTTGAACATATAAGAGGGATAATCTTACTATCACACAGAAAGTATGTTTTCAAAATATAGATCTCTGTAGCACTTGACTGTTGTTAAAGAATTTTCTTAACATGGTTTTGTCGTGAAGTTTATATTCTTGCTGAAACAGGTACCATATTCATCTACAAACCTCGTGCATTATCTTATGTCCCGAGTCATGCTCCTTACCTAACATACTTTACCTGCTTTTATGACACTGCCATTTTCTCAGTCAAAGAAATTGGAAACCTTAGAGTATTATGTGCTCTTCTTGTCCAGTTGCACGGCACATCTAGTTGGTCACCAGAGATGGAGATTAAAATCCTATGCATTCCTCAGATTTTCCCTTTTTTTCTCTGTAGATGTCACTACACTGTCCCTTCTTGTGTGACAAGTAGCCCAAGTCCATTCTCTGTTCCATGGAATCTCTAACACAGAAGATTAAAAATTCCACTTCTTTTCTTTCCTTTCCTTTTTTCTACTAAAAAGTCAAGATATTCTCAAATCCGTAGAGGATAAAGTGTCCAGTCCTCAGTGTGGTATCTGCCCCCCGTCATTGCATCCATCATCATATGCACAACTCACCAGCCCTGGGTGCTGCCCTACGCCTCCCAGCCCCCATCCACTCCTTCAATTTATATCAAACATATACACACATATATAATATATAATATACATAATATATATTATATATAATATATAAATATAGAATATATGTTATATATAATATATATTATATATATAATATGTCATGCAACATATATATAATGTCCTCCTAAGTAACCCAGTTTGTGACAATTCATCATAGTAACAATGGGAATGAATACAGATTTTTTTTACTTGGAAGAGGGGTGTTACTGTACCAAATACTTAAATATGTGGAAGTAATTTTGGAATTATGTACAAGGTAGAGGCTGGAAGAATTTTGAGGAGCATGATAG